GTCCAAGAAACCTATGTGGTCAATTGACACTTCAGTTGATATACTGTCTATGCCCTTTTCTGGCAGGGACAATCTAGCTACAAATGTTCCCAAGTTGGTAATTTCCCATTTATATTATTTTAATTTGGTTTATGAGAGCTACTCTTGCAGTTGGTCTGGAAGCTGCAATTGTGCAAATGTTACATCTTTGTTGAAGCAACTTCACTGACTACTGATTAGGCACCAAGCAAGATTCAAGTTTTTGTTTATGATCCAAGTCACTAAACAACTTGGGGCCAAGTGAGCTTGTCAGATCTCCTTTACTGTTATAGATTTCATCATTCATTAAGATCCTTGGGAGAAGTTCTGCTGTGATAATGAGCCATCAGTGATGAGCCCTTTCTGTGGTAACAATTTCCTGCACTTCTGACAAATCCTTCTGACCAATCTTATAGATTAAATAATGAGAATATAAGTGCACTGAAATTAGTTGGGAGTTGAGTTGATGTGCACTTATTTATTTATGAAATTTATCTGTTATGACTCTGGACAGCTTAAAAATACAATAAATATACTATAAAAATACAAAAACCACTAAAAGTATGGGTAAAAAACAAATTGTTTAAAAAACCAGAACTAGAAGGAGTCCATCACTCTCTCTAACCTAAAGCCTGGGGATAGAGCCAGGTCTTAAGGGCCATATGAATCCCAGGGGGAATGGTGTTCCAGAGGGCAGGTACCATAATGAGCTTATGCCTCTATGATTTTAGTGATACTTCTCTAACTGTAACTAAAGTTTATATACAGTTGAATATATTTCACAATACTAAATTTGAATTTTAAAAGGGTTTTGTTTGTTTGTTTGTTTTGGCATACTAGTGCCAGATAAGCACAATTTTTAAAAATTCTATGTTAAAATATTGCTTCATTTAAATCCCATGAATATGTAGTGTTTGGCTGCCTTGTTCATATACTTGTAGTATAGGAAATGGTGATGCTGTTTTATTTTAACATAACTCAAGGGCAAGACAAGTCTAGATAATTTTGATTTCAAGAGACTCTGAGTGCTGTTTCTACTGTCCTTTAACAGCATCATTTGTAGTATGTCTTAAAATGGTCTTTCAGTAACTTAAAGTGTCAGGAAGTATTAATGGGACTAGTCATGTATTCAAATGACAAAATCAAGGGAAAAATAGAATACTTAGTGTCATTATGCTGCTTCAGTATTTGATGAATACCCCATTTGGCATGCTAGTTTGCCAGCATGAAAATGAATGCTTAATGGGTGAGCAAATGGAACAGGGAAATCGTTATTTAAAATTTGTTGGTCAGGAGTTAGCCATGTTAGCTGCTCTTGACTGGATATCCACATGATGCCTGTGGACATAGTATATCCCTTGCCTGGGCTTTCCTATCTCATGACTGGCAACAGCGTAGGGACCAAAATGTTTTAATACTTTGTACTTGTAGCTATTGTGAATTACAATGGCGGCTGCTGCTGCTTCTTTATCTTTAAGAAATCAGGGTTCTCTTTGTGTAAGTAGGCTTATCACATGCCTTTACAAAAATTCAGGACATGTAATAGCCATTTGCAGTAATGTCAGGG